TGGTATTTATAAAACAAATATATTAAAAATGTGAACTCAAACTCTTGGCACACTTGGCAAAGCAAACACAAACTTCTTCAAAGACTCCGCATAAACGAGCAACAGCTCGAGTGCCTTTCTATTATTCAGTTGATTAACTTAAAACAATCAACTCAAACGTATTCAAACAGTTTATCAATCTTTGCCTAATCAATGTCAATATTTATCAACACAAAAATACGTACCAAAAACTTGGCCAAAACTTTGCAGACAAAGCCGAACTACGAGCCACAATTGTTTGGCCAATGTCTGGCTGAGAGTTCGAACTAAGCGAAGTTCGAACTGACAAAGAGGGAAGTCTTCTTGGGTAGGACCTCCGTTTCAGGTGTGAATTCTCAATTCCGTGTGGCTCAGAGTTTGCTTATTTATGGGCCAAGACACAGGAAAAGATATCGTGTGTGTGTGCCTGCATGTTGTTTGCCCAAGATAATGAATCTATATGAAGGTGCTCGTATGTGCTCACAATTTGCAATTTTATGAACCTTGATTATTTCGGCAGCATTCATGTGGCGCGGCAGACATTGCGTATGCGCAACTTGAGCGTTTAATGATGCACAGGCAATGATAAGTGCGTAGCGAAGAGGGCGGATGGGCGTAGGAGCGACCTGCAATGTGAGATGCCATAAAGCCTGGCCCACGTACACTCAGACACACCCACGCACACACATACATATCGATCTGCTGTCTGTAATTAGATTGGCATGCCGAGCACAACTGTCGATACCAATCGACGCTGCATCACAAATGTAGCATGCAAAACTGCATGCTACCGTCATGTGGTGCACATGTACGCCCACGAGGACGCCCTGCGTAGCCCAACAACCAACAAAGCGCCTCGTGCATAGCATTTGAATTGACGCCATGTCAGTAAATCTCTGACGTTTTGTTTGCAAAAGCTGCGCAATATGCGATTGCCATTGCCTTTGTCTTGACTCCAAGTGCTGCGCTGCAATTCAAATAAATGTCAATCGGGATGCTGTCGTTCTCTATATATATATATATTACATAAATAGCCGGTTGACGTCGTTGCAACTGTCAGCGACAGTGATTACAGCTGACACGCTCAACGGGATAATAAAAATCACGTTGATTTGTGTCAGCGCCGCGAGATTGACGCATCGTAACAAATTTTGGGCTTCAAATGAAACCATCTTCGACTAGACATAATTTAGAACCGAAAATTGAGCGATAAGGGGAAACAATCTATTTTAAAATATATACAAATTTAGCAGTAAAGCAAGTCCGGACTATGAGATGCCTAACTAGGAGATACCCCACCCCCCTAGTTGTGCCGACAAACGTAATATCTTCCTTTCACACATACATACACAAGCTTTGCTGCCTCTTCGCTTTGCCCCACACTATGGTAAATGTGTTCTTAAATAACTTTGGATTTGTATTTAGATCCTTATTAACGTTTTCATGGCATAAAAAGGGCATTCGAATGTGTGTAAATAACAAAACTCAGAGCTATATCTCAAAGGAATAGCTTTTTACAACTGCTTCCTAATGGGAGCTTGATCCTTAAACTTTGTGTGCAGTAGGCAGACGCTTAGCGCATCGCATATTCCTAGCTCTTACAGCTTGGGCTGAGACCAAATATATAGATCAGCAATCAGACAGTCAGTCAGAACAAACTCTGTTTAATATATATTCTATGTCTATAGACAGTAAATCTATTAACTGGATTATCTTGCTCTGTAATAGAACTTCTTAGCACATCTATAAACAGTTTTAACTGAAATTCCCAAGCAAAGCCCAAAATCGTCTTGGACAGATTATAAACCACTTTATTTTACGCTCTTCAACAATTTTAATTACTCTCAAGCGTTAACCGCAATTAAGCTGCTTTGGAAAATCCTTTGCCAGTACACCCCCCGACCCCACCCCTGCTGGAAACAACAAGGACAAACTGTCACTTGAGCTGCTGCTAACTACATTTGCAACATTCCTTTGTGTCCTGCGAAGCAAAGAGACTTTTCTTGTAATCAAATCCATTTCTAAGAACACTTTATTAGTGCGGGTAAAGCATGGCGTATGCGTGATAAAATGACAAAATTTTAATTAAGAAGCGTGCAAAATGACAACAGCGAGAAAGAAAGAGAGATAGAGAGATAAATATGCAACATTTGGACATGGTTTATAGAAAATAATTTGCCACAACAATTTTGTTCTCAGTCACGAATTTATGACGGACAGCTGTCACGGGATGCTGACAGCGCATAGAGGGCCCGGAGTGCGACGTGGCAAGGGAAGGTCACAGGTCACGACCACAGCCACAACGTTGACACACGTCAACAGGGCAACAATAGAAATTGTTCTGCATTCCACATAAATTGTTCAATGTTGAGCTTTAAAAAAGATGAGCAAAAAATGTTGCACTTTGGGCCAGTTGCACGTGTCGCCAAGCGTCGCGCAGGGCACTGGTTGACGCAATATTGTCTCTGGCCCCGTTGGTGGTCGTCGTTGCGCAGCCACAATGGCAACTGTTGCAGCTGCCACAGTGCACCCCCCCCCCCCCCAGGGGAAGGCGTGGCAACATAAATAACTGCACAGCAACTAAGGCGTTTACGGAGTGCAACTGAAATATTGCAGACAATTTACAAGTACAAGTCCATTCCACACAAGTACATACTGTACCAGTGCTCAAGGGTCATTGCGGCAAGTGAATATTTTGCTCATTTGGTAATTGTTTGGGTCTGCGTGTGTGGGTCTGTGTTTTTGTGTGCGTGGGTGTAGTAACAAGTAACATAGACGAAAATTCCTAAGACACATCTATAATATACAGTCTAGATAAACATATTTAGGGGATATCAATTTAATTTAATTAATTTCCAAAATAGATATAGTATAGTATAGAACTATCAAAGGGGAGAAACCACAGATATTCTGCCTAACTCGATAGGGACAAAAGGCGGTAATTTTAAATATGAGGCCCATGAATAGAACTTTTTTTTGAATTTGCACTTTGTGCTTTTTACAATTTATTAAAGAATCTATATAAATGTTTTATGAATTTTCAATAATAATTACTCATGACTTAAAGTTCGAGCTGAAAGTTGAATGCCTTTCATTCATAGGAGATTATTGTTCTTAATTATTAAATTCCCCTAATTTCTAAGACTTCCAATTACCAAAATTTAAATTTAAAAATAAATTGCATTGACAACATAACCAGAATATAGTTTGAAAAACTTTTAAGAATGCCTCGCAACTCTCTATTATCTACGATTTTAAGAGAAAATATTTAAATATGAAATTAAATCATTTAGATAATTATAGACAATTAAGTTAAATGTCAGAGAATTTATATTTGATAATATAAAAATGTCTCATAATTATCGAAAATTTTCAAGGGAAATCTTTATAAAAATTCAAGAAATGTAATTTAATAATATTATTTGTTTAATGCATTTTCAAAATAAAATTAAAAAAAAAAAATCGTTATTTTCTCAAAGAATTTCCTTTTTAATATAAAATTTTCTCCCAATTAACTAATGCCTACGGATTTTTTGATAATGTTTTCAACAAAATATAAAATGCATTAAATGCAATAGTTTTGATATTATTATCGTTATATTAAATAATTAAATTAATTTTTGTTGAAAGCATTATCAGAATATAATTTGAAACTTGTTTTTGGAAGAATTTATATTTTATAATTAACAAATTCCTGCCAATTGACTTATATCTAAAATGTTCAAGGGAAATCTCTTAAAATATTTAATAAATTTATTTTGATAACATTATCAGTATATTAAATGAATTTATGTTAAAAGCATTATCAAAATATAATTTAGAAAAATGTTTTATGTCTTTTGTCAAGGAATTTCTATAAAATATTCTCCAAATTGCCAATTACCTACAAATTTCACATCAAGTTTTAAGCAGAAAATGAAATGGTTTTAGTTTTGATAGCATTATTATTATATCACAGATTTAAAGGAACTTTTTTTGAAAGCATTATCAGAATAAATGTTTTTTCAAATAAAAGTCAATGAAATTATATCTATTAAACTTAAAAAAAAATCCCAACCTCCGATTATCCACAATTTTCACAGTTAGTTTTAAATAAAAATGAAATGGATTGCATTTCATAGCATTATTAATATATTAATTAATTAAATGAACTTATTTTGAAAGCCATATCGGGATACATTTGTTGAAAAAAAAGTCAAAGGACAAATAATATAACATTTTCTCTCAATTATTATTTCGATAGCAACATAAATATATTTATAATTAAATGAAGGAATTTATATATATATATATTTTTATTAATATTTGCTCCCAACTATATAGACCTACCCTTTTGATTGGAAGTTTCAACGAAAATTTAAATATATGCATTTTGATGGCATTATCAGAACATTAAATGAATTTTTGTTGAAATCCTTATCAAAAGTCAAAGAATTTTTGTATATTAATAAAAAAAGTTCTTCCCAATTTCCTATTGCCCACAATTTTCAGAGGAAATCTAAAAACAGAAATGAAATGGATTTATTTTGATAACATTATCATGGTATTAAATCACAGAGCTGTGCTCTTTTCCAAGAAATCCAACGGCAATTGAAAAACAACACAAGGATAAATCCCACAATAATTCTCTTTCGCCGCCCCACAAGCAGATATAATTGAAATCTGTTTTGCTCGACACAAATCCGTTTAAATAAAAAATCGTAATGCGCTAAACAAAGAATGGCGCTTGTAAAAAATAAAAGAAACAGGAAAAAACGAAAAGCTATTTCGCAGAAATTTACGCCCCGTTGCACGCACGTCCACGTCCATCTCTGGACACTCTGGCTAAATTGGAAAAGGCAGTGCGAGCCACGACTTGATGACTTGCCTGCAATTGCTGGCGGCATAATTTCAAAATTGAAAATATAATCCCCCCGCAATTTAGCACCCAGCCTCCGGCCTCCGGCTCCCGGCCACCGCCCCGGCCCGAGCGCATTACTTACCGCATTCAGCAGCATGGAGAGCAGCAGCAGGAGCCACTTGCTCCTGTGTGCAGTTTTGTGCACGGGCTGCATTGTGCTCGATAAAATGCTGTTCGTCTGGCTGCTGGGAAGTGTCCTAATCGGGTTTTGGCTGCAACACGCGATGCGAACTTCACACAATACACAAATCAAATTAAACGCTCGAAAGTCTGCTACACTCAGCAATCTGCACCACTGTGCACAGTCGCTGTCAAACTGTTTCAAACTGTAACCGTTTTCAACTAGTCTGTGCTGTGGCCCGCTTGTTGCTTTCTGTTCCTAGACACGTACGCAGGCAAGTCTTTCGTTTGACTGTATCCTGCTGCCAGGACACTTCGCTATTTATACAGCTCGCACGCACGACGCCCGGATAACGGTCCACTCAGCGCGACTCCGGTTGCTCGGCATTGCTCGGAATTGCTCTCTCGGGTGCACGTAACGAGAGACGAGCTCTGGCGGATAAAAGTTCCCTCAGCAGCAGCAACTGTTGCTAGTTGCAGGCGGCATACTTTCAGGCGGTCCAGCTCCTGTGTGTATGTGTGAATGTAGGTGTGTTTGTGTGAGTGTAGGTGTGCTTGTGTGCGTGCGCCTGTGCTTGGCCTGCTTGCGGGCAGCTTATGTGGGTAATGACGTCATAGCAAATCGTAACTTGTTGGCATATTGAGGGCAAACGTGCAGCACAGTGGAACCAAAGCATTTGAACTGTAGTTCAAATTGACCATATCAAAACTGAAAATGAATATAAATAAAGTCTTAATTGTCTCGAAGATAATGTGATGAAACTTTGCATGGATATACTCTTTCTGTTTCAACCAGTCTATGTGTTCTCAATCATCGCATCATACCCTTTAATTGTATAGCTGCTATAGAAACGATGAGTCGTTGAATAAGTTCTTGTATGATCCATTTATCAAGATATTTTAACTTAGTATTTTTTCATTTCCCTCTGCTCCTTACATATGTATGAGCAAACTTTTATCAAAATCGTTCTGATATATCATCGGAATAATACAACTTTATAATAAAAAGAATTGGTTGAAAAACGAGTTTTAAAAGCTTATCAGAATATCTTGGGTTTTATTATTTTCCTCACATTGCTGCAAGCCTTTATCAAATTGGAATATGTACTATATTATATGACTCTATAGGTTGCAGATAAGGTTTTTCCATAAAATCTTAACTAAATACCATCTCAGCAGGTCTATTTGGTATTTGGCATCCCGAAGACAGCTCTTCCTCCTGTTTTGAGCATAATATTTGCTCAGACAAATGAGCAAATGAGCTCCTTCATCCCAGTGTGCGGACAACTGCTTGCGCCCATACGAAGAGCGTTAGGTTACAATTCTCTGGCGTGCCTATTTATCCATATGCACTGAGTTCTGGGAGGTGCCGTTAGTTGAGCAACCCAGTCAGAGCACTTGCGCAACGCTCACCGCTCAATTTCAAACGAAATTCGAGTTGCTCTTACGCACCGTTGTTTGCGGCAGGAGTCGTGGGAGGCTGCCTGCTGCAGCGCCTCAAAAAAATTGCAAACTTTTGCCTTCTATATAAATGTGACACATGCCCAATTAAAAGTATTTCATTTCTTTGGAAGTGCCTTTTGCCCTTTCAGCTGGCTCGCCCTTTGGGCTCAGATTTCATCTTGGGTTTTAGATTTCAGTGCGCGGAAAAATACTACAAGATAATTACATTTGAAATTTATTTTATTTTTGAAACGTTTGACTTGTGAACTTTTTAAGAACTATAATTAAAAATATTGCTTTGCAGCTGCCATAAAATACTCAATGAATAATATTTTTTTATATATATTAGATGTATCTAGTTCTGTTTTATGTTATGTTTAATTATGGATCGATTTATCGGCTCGCAATGCATTTGTCATCACATTTAATTGTCAAGTTTTTGATTATACATTTGCATTTTGTGATAAGATAAAATAAATAACAATTTTGTAAAAATTTTATTAGTTATTGACGTAATCATTTTTTTTTTTTTTATTTCGCAGTTTCATTTATGCTTTGACGTAAGAGTTCATACATATGACGTATTTGAAAATAAATTTCCGGTAAAATATCCGAAAATGAAAACAAGCCAGCGGGACATGGGTTTATTTTTTACTATAAATAGAAAAACAAATAAGCTACAAATTTTGACAGACAAAAGAGACAAAAGAATTTGACGCTAGCAGCTGTTGGGTACTTTTAACCTTTGCCAAATTTTCTACCTTTCTACTATATAAGACCTAGATAAGCCAAAGAGTTTAAGTCAGTTCCTAACTGTTTGTCAGAGCAAAGAAAATGCGTTTCTCAATTATTTTCATGGTATTCATTGGCTTGCTAGCCTTAGCTGCCGGCCAGGGCTTTGGAGGACCAAGAGGCGGCCAGTGTGGCCAGCTGGGCTCAGGCAGAGGTGGCCAGGGCTCACGCAACTCCACAAGCTCTTCCTCTTCTAGCAGCAGCACAGTGGCCAGCACATTGAGCGTGACCACCGCAGCATCCACAGATTCCTAGTGAATCTAGCGAAAACCTGTCCTCTTTTCAAATATATATTTTTCTGTAAATAAACATAAATTTAACATTCCTTGCTACAAACAATATTACCCTTAATTTCTCGCAGTGTAGGGCATTTTACGTTGCTGTCAATGTTTATCCCAAAGGCAATAAATATCTGGTACCACACGAAAGCATTATCACACCAACTGTTGGCCACATAATAGGATACAATATGTCAGCTTCTGCAAATACCTAAAATAACCAGGAAGAGTGCTCTGGGCGATAGTGACTGAATAAGAAATACCCTGCATATTCACACAAACACACGCGCTGCCTGTTCTCTAGGTCCGCAATTTGGGAAATGTATGATTCAATATCTTGGGTATATACAGCCTAACATGGAGTGTTATCGATATCATCAAAAAATTAGCGAAAGCTATCGATGATTTTCCCAATATTGAACACCAAAGATATTTTAAAGACTCTCGAAAGTTAACAGTAATTAGAAAAGTATCAAAATTTATCGATAATTTGAAGAGTTTAGATATTTATCGATAATTCTAACAGTATCAGTACATTGAATGGCTTATCGCAACCGTTATGCCTACAGACAGTTCGAAAGCTATCGAAATTGATCGATAATATTAATTTTATCGAATGCTAACGATAATGTGACATAAGTTCTATCTACGAATAGTACATGGGAACCTTTATTTCGACTTCGCTGTTGATTCTGTTCAAGGGTTTTCATATTTATTTTATATGATTGCAGATCCAAATTTTTCCCTGTTACATACATTTTTACTATGTCATTAAACCCCTTTACAATAGGTATAGGGTATATATATAAAATTATGAAGCGTAAACAGCGTCAACGAAGCTGCACGTAAATTGTGCAAAGTGCAGTTCAAATTCATATTCATGAGTGTGCACTCACACACACACACACACACATAGACACACACACAGGAATACAGAGGTCATAGTCACCTCGGGCAATTGTTACGCCTGAATGCAGTTAACAGATTGCACGCCGATAGCCTCGAGGCTGCCAAGCTGCAAAACCGGCCGGTTTAAAAATTCAGTTAACACACGTCAAAGCCGTAGCCAAAGCCGTGAAAAGAAAGGGTTGCAGGTGGTTTTGCGGGCGGCTTTTGTTTCAGCGTAGCGATGCATAAAATTTGGTTAGACGAACGCGCCAGCCAAGCAGCGCGACGAGTGGACCAGGATAGATGCACCTCACCCTCAACAGGGCGCATTAAATGTATGCAGATTATTTTGCAGCGATAAATGCGCTGAAATTGTTTTCAATTTATGCAGAAAAATAAACAAAAATCAACGTTGACCGCAACAAACGAATATATTAATTTGTTTGCGAGTCAATTAGCATTTGGCTTTGAAATATTAAAAACAATTTTGATTTGCAATTTTCAGCGAAAATAAGCCACAAATTAATTAATATTTTATTTATATACCAAACGCAAGATAAAATAATATTATTTAGAAGCATCAATAAGCTAATATCAACAATTTAGCTTGCTAACCTTTTCGGTTGGGACATTGCGTTGATTTTCAATTATTTCGATAATGGAAACAATATTAAGCTCTGTTAGGGAGTATCCGACTAGGGGATACCCTGAACCTTCTTCAATAAAATTCAAATGCTATAGAATATTCCTATTTATGATCTGTCTATATTATTCTAGAAGCAATATGTCATATTTGGTGACTCGAGCCCTTAAACCCTAAGAGATTCGCTTTATAAACAGAAATAAATCATCGTTTGAAAAAGGGCAAGATTGTCAGAAACAAATTCGTACTACGCGGGCACTAGGAGGCCCTACGACCCAAATTTGAAGTCTCCAGCTCCTTTAGGTTCTGAGATCCTTGCGTTCATACATGCGGACGGACAGACAGAATGCGGTCGGATAGACAGACAGACGGACATGGCTAGGTCGACTTGCTGATGCTGATGAAGAATATATATATACTTTATGGAGTCGGAGATGCTTCCTTCTGCCTGTTTCATACATTTGCACAAAAACATTATACCCTTTTTACCCATTTTCAGGGTATAAAATTCAAAAGAAGAAACCAACAGCTGAAGCTTCAAATGCCTTCGAACAAACCGTGTAAATGAATGCTATCATCTGGCACATTAAAGAGCCAGCTCGAAACTGGAAATATATCAAATTAAAAGCGTTTGCCATTCTTGGCAGCATTCTTTCCGTACAGATATATTGACCACTTAATGAGCAGCAAGCAGCAGGAACCAACTGCCAGTTGTCGGCTCGCAGCACGAGTTCATGGGGTTAATCAACTCTGCCCGCCCTAAAAAGTGGCACAATACACGCGCTTTTTTAAATCTGAGACGTGTTCCGGGCTTCGAGCCATAAGGTTGGGCAGCAGCCACGCCCAGTTACCAACGCCCCCGTCTAACAATAGCAGCGGCAGCAGTTCAATTGGCATTTGCTGGGAACCCGTTTAGAAAAAGCGACTTCATGTGGTCACGCTTTAAAAATATTTATAGCACAACACCAAAAACAACTAACGCAAATTCCAATTTAGAAAAAAAGGCAAAAAATTCCAAAAACCATAAAAATCCAAAATAAAACCGCTTTTTCGGTGGGCCTTTTGTTTAATGTTCGCAACGGCGCAGAACCGACACTTGAATTGATGTGTAATAAAAAATCGTGGTAATAGCCGCGATAAGTATAGGTGCACACATGTATATATGCATATGTATCTAGACATATATCATTATCGCAGCCGCGGCTCAGCGTGCTTTGCATTATAATCGAAAGACCCCGG